AAGAAAGAAAGAAAGAAAAGAAAAGGAAAAAGAAAAAAGGAAAAAAGAAAAAAAAGGGGTAGATTGAGGAATAGGATCGTCTAGAGACCAATGACGCAGACATGAGCAAAACCAGCTGGCGGGAACAGGCGAGGCACGAAAAGGGAAACGAGCGGCAGAGGCGGAGAGGTTCCGCCGCCACCGCCAACGCGGACGCGAAGCTTTACCGCACTGGCCTGCACGACTCGATAGGACCCCCTCCGGACTCTCGGGAACCCCCCTCGAAGGAGGGGGATTGGGAAGGGATCAGCCTTGTATGTACGCATCCGGTCCAGGCTTGAGAGCCCGCGGAGATAACAAGCGCCCTCTCTCTCGTTTATGCAGACACGTGTGGCAGGCAGAAGATGGAGCGGGCGGGTGTTCGGGTAGATAAGGGTACGAAGGTGTGTAGGTAGGTAGGCAGGGACGCAAGGGACGCAGCTGAGCAGAAAGCCAGCCCAGTCCGCCTCGTGCAAATATGATGTGATGGACATGTTGCGTCTCCACTTCCCGAACGAGAAGACAGGGCGAGGGTGGTAGTGAATTGGGCGTTGCGCTCGGGCAGACGGTGGCGTCAGCCGAGGACGAACAAGGCAAGAGAAGACAGGAGAAAAAAAAAGCAAAAAAAGAGGCTCCAGCGATAGATTTACCCAACCCGGAAACCGTGGCGTGTGTCAATCCACACAGGGGGCGTGTCGTAGGCGAGGTGAGACAACTGAATATGGTAATGCAGCCAGCCTCAACTGCGCAGGTTTCGCCAGTGGAGATATTGACACCACGACCGGACCGGCGGCGGCGGCGGCACATGTTCGTCGCACAGCCGCGAGGACACCAAAAACAAATATGACCTGTCATTCCCCCTTTCATGCTTCCGACATGCCGGCGATCACGGCATTTTCTTGGACGAGGAGGGTGGCAACGAGAAGGAGGGAAAGGAGGCTGGGGAGGTTGAAGCTGTCAGTCAGTCCCGAGGCTTGTTGCTTCCTCCCCAAATTGACGATGGGGTCAGTACTACGTAGCAAAGCATTCCCCATGGACGCAAAGGGGACGTGACAGATACCCTCTACCGTAACTTTCCAGGTCTCTTTTTTTCTAGTACTGCAGCAGCAAGCAGCCAGTCATTTCCGGCCGATACCACCCCCAGCAAGGCTAAATGTGATGATGCTGTACCACCACGTGACTCCACCCCCTTGCCCTCCTCCCCAAGACAGGTGAGGCTCCCTCGCTTGTTCGGCCTCATCTTGCCGGTCGACACGTCGTTCCTTTGGTCCGATTTTTCATTATTATCTTGCACCCTTTTCGTTTCCATTCCTTGGCTCCTTGCTTTACGGTTCACGGAAAGTATCGTCCTGTGTTTGCTGTCAGACAACTTGACGTGTGGGTCCTCCCCCCCTAAGCGGACGTGATGGCCCGCAAGCAAGACCTGTCTAATCCTCGAGGTTGGCGGGAATCGACTGTCAAATCGGCCATCTGTAGCTTGGCATCTTCCGAGATGCCGATGGACCATACGCTTGGGCGGGCAATCTTTTTTTTTTTCGGTTTCGCCCACACCCATTCGGGCGCGCGATATGGATCCCAAAAACTTAGATATCTGCCTTGTACGTACCTACCCACATGCCTCACCCACACCGGTCATATAACAGCAGTCCAAATGACAGCGGTAAATCTTCCTTCTTGGCGACCTTGCCAAACCTGGGGCTCAGCATTGTCGATCCTTTTCGGGGTTTGGGAGGGAGTTTTCATTTTCATTCCCCAGAGGGCAAGAAGAGCCGGGTGGCCGAGCCAGGCTGCAATATGTACGTGGCTTATCGTAACCGTCAACCGGGAGCAAGACGAAGAAAATTTGATATTCCCCCCTCCATGCCTCTTTGGGCTCTCGTCACCACACCAGGGGCACACGCTGCAAGGCGCCCTCCCCTCCCCTGGCCCGAACCGAAAGGCATGGAAGAGGGAATCGAGGACTGGCACCCAAAGAACTGGCTAGCGGGACGATCCTGCTCAAATGGCGAGGGCGGTGAGGGAACAAGAAACGAGCGCGCTGCCGTGGATGTTGCTTCTAAATGGCCAAAGGGGGCCAACAACAGTCGCCCAAGCCGCCCCTCGTCGGCCTAGTAGGGATAGGGGACCACGGTTCGATCGGCTGTCAAGGTCGGCTCGGATCTGGGCTGCTGCGAGCGCCCTTGACTCCTCTCGTCTTGGGTGTTTGTATCCCATGAAACATTTTGCCCTGTCTCAAAGTGGCATCTTGGTACCCAAACTAGCTACGTAATCCTGCCTTGAGTCGGTTGTCAAGCAATATTATTGATAATACACAGTATGTCGAGCCGGCATTAAGCGGTAGAGCCTCGGGAGTCGCCATCTTCTTTTGCTTTTGTTTAATTTGTTTTGTTGCCAGTCCCCATCATCTGAGACGAGGTGACGGTCGTTCCCAGCAACCCGGGAACAAACCAGGAATAGCACAGATGGCGTTCGCAAAAGGAGGACCGATCACAATCTCAGGGCCCACATGAGAGCCAAACTCTGGCGTGTTCAGTCGCCCCGTATCTGCTCCGCCCGCCAGAGCAACGACGGTGAGCTTTGCGCCAGAGTCGCGAACCGCTCCTGGAATTTTAGGCCTTCGAGGGCGGGCATGAAAACGGTCCCATGGTTGCACGCGGATGGGAATGTGGAATCACTGGGAAGTGGGCGGGCGGGCTGTTCATCACCTGCCTTCCTCCAGCCCCCCCTGGTCTCCCATCGACGATTGATGGCTCGGCTCCTCCCACTTGGGGCAAGATTAAGTGCGTCGCGTACACAGTCAGACTGGGCCACCTAGCCCAATACGTGCAAAACGAACAGGGAAAAAAAAAAAAAAGAAGCCGGGACAGCCGCGCCGGCCCTTGAGGTCCTGTCGTCGTGCGGCGCTGTCACCCGAAGCACACCCTCCACACAGTAGATTGAGGCGGGGGGGGTGGTGGTGGCGGTGGTGGTGTTGGTTGGCGTCAATGACGGTCGACTTGGCTTCCTCGTCGTTGGGGCTGGCTCCCAAGGATGGGGGTTTGGTGATTCCCCCTGCTCGTCCAGTCAAGATCGGCCCTGTTGTTGCATCCGAGAAAAGCGATCGCCCAGCCTGTCATCTCGGCCTGGGAGGGGGTTGTGGTGGTGTGGACTGGGTTGATGCTGTCAGTGGTTGGGACAAGGGGGATGGAGGATGGGGATAGGGATTGGGGGAGAGGGCCTGGTCTCCCGTGGGCGCCTGACGCTGGCCTCGTGGGCTGGCGTCACCCCTGGGGGCACTTGGATGCGGAACAACAGGAGGATTATCGTGATCACCAGACAAGGAAAGTGTGTTTTCTCTTTTACTGCTTCTGTCCTTTTGGCCTCTGTCAAACTGTGGGGGTTTTTCGTTTGGGGTGCTGTGGAACGGGATCTGAATCTGGGCAACTGCCAGATTGAGATGCGGAAAGTACCGCTGCAAACTGCAAACCAGATACGCATCGTGCGGCAGCATCATCATGGCAGCATCATCGTGGCAGGACGATGGGCATTGACAGCAGCAAATGAAGCCCCGTCTGGCGCTCGGGGGACATCCCTGGTCCGAAGGCAGTCGGCCGCGGTGTGAACTAGCAAGGAAGGATCAAGGAGGATCGTCCTAGTTTTTCTTCTTCTACCGCCACGCCGTCCACGTCTCCCTCCCCCTTGCTGCACGCAACCCCACCCTCCGCACCTGGCAAGACCTCGATGCACATCACAGCCAGCGCTGTGGCAGCTGACTCTTTGGGAAGCATGGCTCCGGCTGCAGGCGGTCGTGCTGATTGGTCGGCATGCGAGCCTGGCGGCAGAGCCCTTTTCGATCGGTCGCTTACGGGAATAAGCCTGCAGTAGCTTGCGCGACGGACCAGCAGTTTTGAGATCATGATCGGTTAGCCTGCGTATAGCGCCGTCCGTATGTCTTCCTTTTTTCCTTTGCTTTTAGAATTAGAGAGGCTTCGGCAACTCAGCGGTGACAGAATGCGCGACTCGGTCGTTGACAGAAGTCGGAATGGAGTCCGCTGCCTTTGACTGGCTCATTCGGAAACCGTGCCCCAACAAGCGGGAAACCCGTCCGCCATCATCACGACTCAACGTTACGCACACCTTGAATCATACTAAAACTGGAGGCCAATCTTCTTCCTGTACTGGTGCTCGGCCAGTTGCAACACAAATGGTTTGCAACCTGTAAATGCATAAACTCTCCTCTCCCTCTCTCAATAGCAAATGCCCCGGTACTTAATAAAATAAAATAAAACCTGCCATTCAATTGTGATACGTCATAAACCAGCGGCAGGCAAAACAGGACTGAGGTCCGAGTGGATGCACGCGACAAGAGGAGGCTGATCCTAGCGCAAATTTTAGTCCGCAGAGTGGCTTGGGACGGTGGCCGATCAGATTCAATGAGGAAGGGCGACATCGTACGATGGCAGGGCCCAAAAGAGCCGGAGAATTTCCCTCTACGGAATATGCCCTGTGGCCTTGTGACGCTAGGCGGTGGTGATGATCGTCGTCGACACGCACTCCCTCCCTTCTCCTCCTCCTCCAGCATTCCTGGATCGAAGGATTCGCTCATGCCAGGGCCAATCGGCGGTCCTCAGCAGTTTGGGGTGGGTAGCCCGGGTGGGTGGGTGGCCCACAGTAGATACGTCCCCTCCCGGGTGCGCGGAGGTCAGCACCCAGTTTTGCCAGACAATCTCATCTCGCTGGCCGGCCCGCCCGGGTTGACAGGACCGCCTCTCCATTACTCGTCCGCCCATGACCGCATCAAGCCTCGTTGCTTTTCTCTCTTCTCTATGCATACAGTAAGTAGGGAGGGAGGCAGGGAGGGAGGCAGGGAGGGGGGAGCAGCAGAGGTGGGCCAAGCAACCCTTCCTCCAGCGTGCCTATCGCCTATCCCTTCAAATCGCTCCGCCGTCGTTGCCGCACCCGGCGGTGTGCTTCCTATTCTAGAAGCCCGGGTTTATTTTTAAACACGGCCTGCAGCATGCCAAGCTCGTCCCGGCTGTCCCCCGCCGCCGCCGCCGCCCCCCTCCCGCCAGGCAAGCCTGCTCGGCCGCGTTCAGATCTGGCTCCTCGCCGCTGTGCTGTGCTGCCGCCGCCAACTCGATGGCCCCCAATACGACGAGACTATTCACTTTGCCGAGGCCCCGTAGGCTATTGGCCCGGCCTTCGCGTTGCTGCAAGGGAGTGGGCGGCGGGCTGCGGTTCGCTTGTGGGAAACCCGGAACGCTGGGAAGGGTGCCCGCTTTTTTGGGGGACCAGCAACAGCCAGTCGTTGAGGGGGTGGGTGGGTGGGTGAGTGGGCGGCCAGGCGGCGGCAAGTTTGACAGCCGTTGAGGTGGAAAGGCAACGAGAGCCGAATAGGAAAAAAAAAAAAAAAGGGCATAACAGGCGGGGGTGACACGGGAGTTGATGGCTGATGACAGCAACAGGGGGATTCGAGACTTGGCTTTTTCTCCTTTCGTCTTTGTTGTCCATTCTCCCCTTCGTTATGCAAGCACGCACACACACGCACACACACATGGGCGGCACCGACGACGGCAGTGCAGGATGGAGACGGCAGGGTTCTGGTTCCATGGTCGCGCTCGATTGAACACGAGCCCGCGCCAGATTTTTCTCCATCTTCCCCCCTGCCAGACAAGAACAGCAGGGCAAGGCCGGCGGGAATCGATGGACGGGGGCCACATTGGGCATCATGGATCTCCCGGTTAGACCCCCACCCACACTCCCACTCTTTTCACACCCGCTGCCCCACGCCCGCCCTGTGTCTGGCCAAACCGGGCGACCGACGTCGTCCACCACAACCACCATTACCATAACCGCGGACCTAAGCTCCCGCCGCCGTCTGCTCCCTTATGTTTT